ATTTGGCTCATGTGGTGTTGAATGATAATACTCTTACTAGTGTGACGAATGTTTGAGTGGTCAGGCATTTTCCCGACGTATTCCCTGATTATTTACCTGGATTGCCGCCAGACCGAGACGTGGAGTTCACCATTGATTTACTTTCAGGTACATATCTTATATCTTTAACTCCTTATCGAATGGCTCCTGCTGAATTGAGGGAATTGAAGATTTAGTTGCAGGAATTAGTTGATAAAGGTTTTATTCAGCCTAGTACTTCACCCTGGGGGGGCTCCGGTGTTATTTGTAAGGAAGAAAGATGGGACTTTGAGGCTATGTATTGATTATAGGCAATTAAATCGGGTAACGATTAAACACTATTATCCATTGCCGCGTATAGATGATTTATTTGATCAGCTTCTGGGCACCTGTGTGTTTTCTAAGATTGATTTGAAATCTGGTTATTATCAATTGAAGTGAGGATGTCCCTAAGACGGCTTTTAGGACTCGATATGATCATTATAAGTTTCTTGTGATGCCATTCGGGTTGACTAAAGCACTTGCAACTTTTATAGATTTGATTAATCGAGTATTCCAGGAATATTTAGACAGGTTTGTCATTGTCTTTATTGACGATATTCTGGTGTACTCTAAGTCTAAATCAGAGCATGTTCGACATCTCACTTTAGTGTTGAAAAAATTAAGGAAACACCAGTTGTATGCTAAGTTTAGCAAGTGCCAATTTTGGCTAGATCAAGTGGTATTTTTGGGACATGTTATATCAGCTCAAGGTATTATGGTGGATCCTCAAAAGGTAGCAGCTGTTGAAAATTGGGAGCAACCACGAGCCGTCACTGAGGTACGGAGTTTTCTTGGCCTAGCTAATTTTTATAGAAGATTTGTTAATGATTTTTCAGTTATTGCATTACCCCTGACGAGGTTAACCAAAAAGGAAGTTAAGTTGAAGTGGGATGATAATTGTGAGCAAAGTTTCTAGCAGTTGAAATATTGTCTCACTCATGCACCTGTTTTAGCACTTCCAAATGATAATGGTAACTTTGAGATTTACAATGATGCTTCCTTGAATGGTCTGGGATGTGTGTTGATGCAGCATGGTAGGGTGATTGCTTATGAAGGAAGGAAGAATGTTTGTGCCAAATAATGCAGAATTAAAGAAAGAAATTCTTGATGAAGCACATGTATCGGCGTATGCAATGCATCCTGAAGGTACTAAAATGTATCATATTATTTGACCATTTTATTATTGGCCAAGTATGAAAAGGGAAATTGCTGAGTATGTGAGTAGGTGTGCCATTTGTCAACATGTCAAAGCTGAGAGGAAAAAGCCATTTGGATTGATGCAGCCACTTCACATGCCACAATGGAAGTGGGAAGATATTACTATGGATTTTGTGTACAAGCTTCCTCGTACAAAAAATGGTTATGATGGCATTTAAGTGATAGTTGATCGGCTTACTGAGTCAGCGCATTTTATTCCTGTAAGGGAGAAATATTCATTAAGTCGATTAGCTGAATTGTTCATATCGAAGATTGTTAAGTATCATGGAGTTCCGGTTAGTATTATCTCAGATCGGGATCCTAGGTTTACTTCTAAGTTTTGGATGGCATTTCAGGAGGCTCTTGGTTCGAGGTTACTTTATAGTACGTCATATGACAGACGGGCAATTTGAGATGACTATTTAGACATTAGAGGATATGCTGAGATCTTCGGTATTGCAGTTTGGTGACGCCTGGCATTAGCGGTTAGATTTGATGGAGTTTGCATATAACAATAGCTACCATTCGAGTATTGGTATGTCACCTTTAGACACTTTATGACAAGTCTTGTCGTACTCCTATGTGTTGGTCAGAGGTTGGTGAAAAAGTTTTAGTGGGTCATGAGATTATAGAGGAGACTACTCAGAATATTCAGGTAATTAAGTCTAACCTAAAAGCGGCCCAGGATCATCAGAAGAGTCTAGTAGACAGACATGCCACTGATCGAGTGTATAAAGTTGGTGATTAGGTGTTTTTGAAGCTATCACCGTGGAGAGGTGTATTGCGGTTCGGGAAAAAGGGTAAGCTAAGTCCTAGGTACATCGGACTGTATCAGATCACCGAGTGAGTCGGTGAGGTTGCTTACAAGCTCGAGTTGCCTCCAAAGTTGTCTAAAGTGCACAATGTGTTCCATGTTTCTATGCTTCGTCATTATGTTTATGATCCATCACATGTGATATCTCTTCAACCGGAAATTAATCCAAATTTGACTTATGATGAGGAACCAGTGACGATTTTGGATTGGAAAGATAAGGTTCTGAGGAATAAGACTGTGCAATTAGTGAAAGTTTTGTAGAGGAATCATTCAGTGGATGAGGCTACCTGGGAGATAGAGGATCATATGTAGGAAATGTATCCATGCTTGTTTTACGGTTATTAGTGGTTGTGCATTATTATATGGAATTTTGGGAGTGAAATTTTCTTAAGGGGGGTAGGTTGTGACAGCCTGTCCCGAATGTATATATTATTTTATTGGAAATTTCTTTTATGCCCTTTAATCGTTGAGTTGTGTTGTGTGGTTTATACTTTGGATTTGGACCAATCCTTTTTATTCCTAAGTATTTGGAACTTAAGACATTTGTTAGTTTTGTTTGGTGACAAAACTTGGACCACACACTCACACTTTCACACTCCCCCGTTGACTCTCTCTTTTCTCCCTCTCGGATTTTTTCCATTCGTCCGTATGATTGTATGGACAAGCCTTCAACTCTCATCATCTCTCACGGATCGAGGTTGTGGGTGTTATTTTCGTGCTTCGTTCAAGCTCAGGAGTCGAATGGTAGTTTTGGTTGGACGTGAGGCCCTCGAAAACCCGAGAACCAAAAACCCCCGATGAGGTGCACAGTGACTCTGTCGTGATCGCGGAGGTTTCATCGAGTTTCAAGGTTCTAGTAAGCCTTAGAACTTCTTCACGAAGCTCAGAGAAGAATTTTGAAAGGTTTTAAACGTCGGGAAGCTCGGGTTTGGCGAGTTGCAGGGGTGACCAAAATATCGAAGAATTTTCTTGCTACTTTCCGTTTGTTTTAGGACTCTTAAGTGGTAAGAACTTGTTCCTTTCATCCTAAGCTTCATTTTGGTATAAGTTTCATGAATTTTGGTTGATTTTTGACTGAGATATGAAGATTTGAAGATTTTCCAGTTTCCGACGATCGCAGCGGCGACCGGCGACCGGCGTCGGACTCCGGTGAACTAAAGAAGTAGGAGGTGAATATTCCGTCAAAGTTGATGGAATATTCTAACTGCGTCAGGTATCTTTAACAGCATATGCTTTTATTTAACAGAATATTCCCTAACGTCGTTAGGGAATCCGTCAGTGTGCCAGGCACGTGCTTGCGCATGGGCGGCACGTCTGGCCGTGCCTTGGCCGGCGCGTGAGTGGTCGGAAATTTTTTCTAAAAATATGGGGATGTTCCTGAGGTTGAGTAGGTCACGGTGGTATATTCAAATACCCAATTAAGCAATGTATCAGAAGTTATTGCCTAGTTTTGTTTATGTTCTTAAAAATAACATTTAAATAGTTGTTTCGCATATAAGTGAGACTATCCTGAGGACAAGCATAGTCAAGTAAGGCTCGGGGGTTACGACCTTTCTACATATCAATGAGTGGGTTTTTGGTTTTCAGTATATATATATACACATACATACATACATACTTGGTATTTTCCCAAAATACTTAATTAAATGGTTTAATACTTTGAAATGCCATGTCAAATGCTCTCTAAGTCTAATTGTACATTAGTATAGTTATATATATATATATATATATATATATATTGTTGCTTGACGCTTCGGATGCTCAGGTAAGCTTCAGGTGAGTATATTGATGGTAGTTATGGTAGTGAGTATATTAGTGCTGAGATGTATTTTGAGCTTATTATCCTGTACCCCGGTGTTAGTGTTCCGCTCGAGGACATGGCCTAGCCTTCATATGATCGTTCACCTCCCGCACCACACGCTCACCTTGGATCCAAGACAGGTGTCAGCCTGTCGTACAGACCACTTTAGGTGGTTTCGACTCGTAGTTGACTTGCGATACTTTGCACAGCCTTCATGTGACCGTAGCACTTGAGCGTACTTATTTACACCCAGCTTGTCGTATATACCACTTTAGGTGGTTCCGACTTGTGTGCAGAGAATTAGTTGATGAGTTATAGATCCAGCCGTACAGGTCACGTTATGTGATTCTGGCTTGCATGCTATTTCATATTGATTTATTTCACCTAACGTACTTATTTCTTGTTTAGATTTGACATGGTATATTCGGTGGATTTGCTATTTTGAATATGATTTTGGGATATTATTGTATATGCTATTTTCTTGGAATTATACAGGTTTTACAGCGAGGGGTTACTACTTTAGATAGTGAAATGATTTTGAAAAGTTTTGTTTTTGCCCACTCACATTTTCTGTTTTGTGCCCCTCCAGGTTTTAGGTATGAGTGCTCGTTAGTGGCTCACGAGGAATTCACGACAGCTCTGACAGATTTTCACTAATGTAGGACCATCCTTGGTATTGTATAATTAGTATTTGTCCTGCTAGACTGCACCTAGGATACCTACGCTCTGGTTATGTTTAGTTACACTTAATTTCGTCCTGCACTTATTCTTATCTAGTGTTTTAGTCAGTTTGGTTTTTATTTATTCGCATTTCTTTATATCGTTATTCTTCCGCATTGCGCACATGGCTACGTCACCATCATGTGACGGCCAACATGCCTCAATCTAGGTCGGGGTGTGTCAATAATGGCAAATCATGTAATATTGCATTAATAAATGTTAGTTATAAAATATGTGACACCTTAATTGTAAGAAGGATATTTAGTCAAATTTATATATAAAAAAAAAAGTAAATGTTTAATCTAAAAAACTTCAAAAACGAAACCCCAATATCAAAACTCATGAGATCTGATTCTTTTCATTCCAAACCCCCTTTTTCTATCTACCAAATCCATGAATCCATCTTTCTTCCCAATAATACCCTTGTTACTCTTTGTAAATCACAATCCGGAAAAGTTGGACCCACACTTGCATCAAACGCTCACTCCCTCACTCACTCTTCCTCAAAGGCGCAGGAAAAGCCCAGCTCATCGCTTCAAGCAATGCCACTCCCTCCGTCGAGCTCCAGCCAAAGATCCCCTACCAAAATGCTCGAGCGCGTCCTCTCCTCGCGCCGATACGCGCCGTACGCGGACGAATCCGCCGCTGAAAACGACGCTGTCGCCGACGAGTCCAAGACCAAGAAGCACCTGCCCATCTCCTTCTTCACCACCCGAATCACCAACTACTTGACTCGAACCGGACCCGTCTGGCCCTGCCTCCTGGTCCTCGCCCTCGTCCTCCTTCTAATATTCTCCCTCATATTCAACTCCCGGAGATTCGTCTGCGTCTCGCCTTACGACCCGGTTTCTCGTACCGGCTTCTTCGGGTTCGATGGCCTCGAATCGGATTTCGGATCCCTCGGCGTGCCTTGGTGTAAGTATATCCGGGTCGGATCTCATTTCTCTAAAATTCCCATTCTTTTGGCACAAATTGAACGATCTGAGTTAATTTTGCTGTTGGTGTAGAAATCAGATCGAGGGTTTTGGTATAACTTTTGGTTTTTTTTTTTAATTAAAATTAAATGAAAATTGTAGAATTTCTGATAGCTGAGTAAATTTGGAAGCTTGGAATGAATTTCAAACATTTGACCATTTGGGTTTCTAAGAAAAGCTGGAAAATTTAGCTTTGTTAAGTTTACTTAGTGCACAGTAAAATTCAGGGTAGCTTCAGGGTAGCTTCAATAAGTTTATGATTCAAGGGAATTGCAATTTTTATATTTCGCTTTCGATTCTAGTCGATATGAGATATGTGCGTACTACAACCATTTCTATATGTTTTAGGCAATTGTAGTAGCTGTTAATGATCGAATTAAAGTTAGGGTTCTTTTTGTTTTTTTGCCAGACTACATAATAGAAAATCTGATTAAAGTTAGGGTTTTATGCATTAAATTTGGTGACCAATGCCTATGTTAGTCCCAATTGCTCAATGTTTTATGGATTTCGGTAGTATGTGGACCATGATGGGTTCTTTATGAAGTGAATGTAGGGATTTTTGAGTTCTTTTATTTGGTTATAATTCCTTGTTTTCGTTGTGAGATCCCTGGGTTCGCGCCCTTGTCTGATTCTTATAATGTTATCCTTGGCAAAAGGCAGATCGAAACACGGAAAAGCAGTTGAATGGACAACTAAGGATTTAATCAAGGGCTTGGAAATGTTTGTACCTATTTACGAAACCCGACCGATAAAAAACAACATGTACGGGATGGGTTTTGACCACAGCTTTGGGCTCTGGTTCATTGCCCAGTGGCTGAAGCCAGATCTAATGATTGAGAGTGGCGCTTTCAAGGGTCATTCCACTTGGGTTTTGCGACAAGCGATGCCAGACACGCCAATTATTACCCTCACACCCAAGCATCCTGGGAAGTTTCTAAAGAAGGGGCCTGCATATGTTGATGGAAACTGCACATACTTTACTGGAAAAGATTTTGTGGATTTTGGAAATGTTGATTGGGGAAAAGTGATGAAGAAACATGGGATTACTGATCTGAGCCGTGTTCTTATTTTTTTCGATGATCATCAGAATGAATTGAAAAGGTACTAACAATATCACAATGTAATCTTGCTCCTTCATCTCGTTATTGCATGGCCACTGGAATTGTCGATTGCCAACTGCTGACTCATCATATTTTTATTATATGCTCTGGCAAGCAGAGTAAGGCAGGCTCTGAAAGCTGGTTTTCGGCACATAATATTTGAGGATAATTATGATACTGGAACAGGAGATCATTATTCCTTACGGCAGATATGTGATCAATCCTATATAAGAGGTGCATGCTCTGTTATCCTTCATTTTTTAAGTCTATTTGTTCGTCATATGCTTTATGTTGATGAAATGCATTCTTACCTTCTTTCCTGCTGAAGCCCAAAGTAACTTTAGTTAATGTACTATGGATTGAATTACTGGTGGATCATTTTGTCAAATTAAAAACCATTGTAGTCAAAGGCTCGGTGTGGTGCCAAATCTTTTAACTCATTTGATCAAAATGTGTGTTTTACTTCGGTTTATTGGTTTAATAGTTTTTGGTTTGTTTCCCCATAGAATTCCTTTATGAACTGTTGCCATGGATTATTGCTCCAACTAGTAATCCTCGTAGTTTCTTTTGGTTGCTTTAGGAGGTGGTCACAGCTGCTTTAAAGACAGTGATGAAGCTAGGATTAGGTCAAAAAGGAAGAAGTTCTGGGAGAAAGCAGTGGATATTGAAGAACTTTGTGGGGCGGGTGAAGCATGGTGGGGTGTTAGAGGATACATGCATGATAACTTTACTAAAAGTAGTAAGAAGATATCGTATTCAGAACATTTTCAGAATAGCCGGTTTGTGGAATCAATTCTTGATGTTTACTGGGAGGTTCCACCAGTGGCAGGTCCGTCCCTCACTCATCAAACTAGATACGATCCTGCTCGTGCCGTAACTCCTATTGTCGAAGATGGCCGATATGGCTTATTCAATCGACTTGGCTTAACCAGACTCGACACGTCTGTATTTAATGGATATACTCAGATGGTTTACCTTGAGATATCAAAACAGTAATTTTTGAGCTGTCTAGATTCAGATACGTTGTTTAGCTTTCAGTAGTTTGTTCATATTATGCAATATGCATGCAGTTTTCTCATAGCTTTCCGGCTCGTGTATTTCCTTTGAAGTTTTTTGTCTTTCATGGTCGACAATGGTTAATTTGTGGAATCAATCCGAGCAACGATTGTTCTGTACTAGTATCATGCCACAGCGGAACCGATCTGGCTCGTTTTCAGCTGTCCAGCAACTGATTCGGTTAACTTGTCTGTTGTAATACTTATAAACTCAATTAATTCCAAGTTTCTTTGTTTCAGTAGCATGTTCCTTAACCTTATGTCAAATTCAATTTATTTATTTTTTGCAATTTATATATTTTTATTCGAGCAGCATTCTAATCTAATCTAATCTAAACTATAAACTATAGGGAGGGGAATTCGAACTTCCATCTTATCGTTCCAAACAAACCCAAATCAGTTCCCTTCCGACTAACAATTACCAAAAAAAAAAAAAAAAAAAAAAAAAAAAAAAACCTCGGTTTCAAAAATCATTGGAGGAACTTATACGTACAATTGTTCTTAAGAGAAGAAACTGGAAGAGATTTGCAAGCAGCAAAGACCATTTACACAGTAATTCGAATATGTGGTACATGTAAGAGGGAAAAACAGCAACAGCAAACACATAATCTGGACGTCTCCAGCGAAAACTTTCTAACTAATCGGAAAATTTCCGGTCCGTAAAGACAAAAACTAGGATTCTATCAAACATACTTAGGACTCTGCAACAAGCACCCGACTTTGAGTCCATTTTGATGCTCTGGAGAATGCTATTTCCAGCTGGTACGGTTCATGTTAGTTGCGGTTCTTGCACTTCCCCGCGGCCCTTGGAGCTGCAAACAAGAGCAGTGGTCAGCTTAATTACAATCTGACTTATAGCAATCCCGAGATTAGAACATGGAAGGAAGCAAAAATACCACCAAATTCCTTCTAGTCATAACCAACAACTGATCAAAGTTAGAACATACCTAGTCCGATTGCTTCAGAACCTTTCATGATCCTCAGCCTCCTACAGGTCTCAGTGAACATCCTGTCATACACACACACAGATCAGATGAGAACATATGAACATCTGAAGATGTTAACAGTCACTGACGGTAAAAATTGAGACCCGATCAATTGGAACGTAACAACCACGTCATGTATCTGATTGAAGGTAATTGCAATTCAATCAGCTAGATAATTTCAATTTTTGAACACTACTCATGCGATTAAGTTCAAATAGCCATAACACAGTGTTCATACAGAACAGTTAAAAACGTACTGCCAAGGAACATCGCCAACAAGCATCCAGTCATCATCCTTGTCCTCGTAAGTCAGAACAAATTCAGAACCATTGAGAAGATCCATCAATCGACTCGCACTCAGACCATCTCGCTCTGGAAGTCCATTAGAACTGCACTGCCCTGAATCACAGATAATCACAACCTTAAGCAAAGACGCATCTGATTTACTTTAAACACCGTATAAAACATTTAATACACCCTAATGCAGTCTCACTGCTCGCCAGCTAGTTTCGTTCTGGTACTAGCCTATTAAAACACCAAACTTAAGTTAATTTCTGGATCAAACCGTACTGGACAGGCATTGTACACCAAACTAAGTCGCGGTATAACTCAGTCTGCATGTGCATGCCTGCCTGCACACAAGAGAAAAAGAGAGAGACAGAGAGAGAAGAGTACCAATGTTGAAGCAGCTAAACATCTTCTCCAGAGCCATGGAAAGTTCAGTGTAGTTGTTGTAGGTTTTAAGGTCAACTTTTCGCAGGTATGGAGCGCCGTCCATGCTAACCTTCACATAAAGGCACCCGGACCCTTGTTTGCCCGCAGCGTCATCGTTGTTTTTCGCCAGATTAGAGGCCATGGAATTCTTCCGAAATGATCGAATTGGGGGCCATCCTACCACCTGTGCCCTGCTACAAGTGTAAGAATTAATTGCTAAGCTTACAAGTTATTACAAAGGGAGAAGATTAGCAGATAAATTAACATTTTTCAAATGAATCGCTTTATTCTGAATGCTCTTGATGCAGAAAACATTAGGAATCAAATTGCAGGATGGTAAAACTTTCAACCGCAAAAGGAAAAATAAAGTACAACAAGTTCAGGGGAAAAAACCAAGAAAACATCTAAGGGAACGACCAAATGAGTTCATATACAAATATTAGAGATGGATTTTTGTCCAAGTCTTATTAAACTTTGTTGTCCTCAACACCAAAAAAATATTCTCAGTTAGACCTGTGACTTCCTAACGAGGAAAGTAAAAATTTGAGGATTATTTAATAACTATTTTGTGTTTAGTTTTTAGCAAGATTTTAAAAGAGGCTAGGTCCTAGTTGGACGATAGGTTAGGGCCTAGCGTCTAGGCGGCTAGACAGAGATCTAGGCGAACTAGGCAGAATTGAATAAATTTATTATATATCGTATAAATAAATGTCAATAAAAAATACATAATTTCATTGGACTATAAACTGTAAAACAGAATGACATATAGATTATAAAGTATTAGAACATAATGAAAACATGGTGAACACGCATATACTCTAAGTATTTAACAATTCTCTTAAAATTTATTGAAAGAAAAAAATAGAAAATGAAAGTTATGTATTTTCTAAGTGAGAATCCCGACCTAGGCTAGGTGCCTAAAAAGTCTAGGTGGGCACCTAAATAGGTCTAGGCACTCTTTCTTAATTTTCAAATGCTCAAGAATTAATCGGAATAATGACCAACCGTCTAACACCTAGGTGAAGATTTTTAGAACAATGATTTTTAGATTTTAGTTTCATTTTTGTGTTAGATAAAGAGAATAAATACATGAGATATTTTTGTTTTGATTCACTCTTATTTATTTCTTCTCCTCCCTCCAATTACACTTATTTGTTCCCCATTTTCTCGTACTTCAAGCACAAAAGTGAAAATAACAAACTAATAATAAAATAGTTATCAAAGGAGCACGAAATTTTGTTTCTTTTTATTGTTGTTGAATCAAATTTCTCAGAAATAAAAATTAACCCAGCAAACACAAACAATTAAGAAGGGAGTAAAAAGGTTAAAAAACAGAAAAGCTTACTTGCAAGAAGGAGAAGCAGCAGCATGCTCAGAGGCCTGAGTGTTCTTCTTCTCCAACTGAGCTGCTGGCTTTGGCGACAGAGGAACAGAAGAAACCTCCTTCTTGGCTAATGGAGAACCCAAGACAGCCGCTTTACCCACATCAACCTCAGATCCATTAGTCATGGTAAAAGCCCATTTCTCAGAACACCCATCAATGGCGTCAGAGAATCCCCTTTTTGCCCCTGACACAGGGTTCTTTGGAGGGTTTGGAGAAAATCCAGTTGGCTTGTTATTCTCCTCCAAATCTTTCCCAAAAATTGAGACCCCAAGTCCAAGCCCTGATGGTTTTTTTCTGTCAGGAGAGTGGGACCCAGGCAGGCCAAGCCTGAGCTCAGTCTCCTTGAGGTTGATGGCGGAGGAAGTGGAAGATGAAATCTTCTCAGAGCTTCTTTCCATTGGAGAAGATGAAGTCTCTGTTAGGCCTATGTAATCATGCTCCAGTGGCATAGACATCAAGTTTTTTCAACCAATTTTTTACCTCAAAGTATCAAACTTTGTGAGAGAAGTGAATGAACTCAAGAGAAGTTCTAGAGAGAGAGAGAGAGAGAGAGTAGGTAGAGTGTCTGGTTAAGCTGGTTTTTGTTGAGGCAGAAAGGAAGCTTCTTTTAAGCCTTTCTGCAGCTGCATTATTCTTTTCCATTTTATTAAGGAATTAACTTGGTTGCGGGACAATTTAGCTGCCAAGTCTTGTTCTTTTATTAAAAACTCTCTGAACCTTTTTCTTCATATCGCAGTTTGCAACAATGATGAAAGTAATTTTATATATTTTTTGTTTAATTAAAAATAGAAAAGGTTTCTTTTAATGGACTATCATAGTACCAATTCTGTTTAATTATACACTCACGCTTACTCCCTTTTTTGGCAATTTAGATTTAATTCATGATGCTATTCAAAAAATTATACTTGTATTATTCATTTGTATATGTCATAATTAATAATGATATTTCACCTTATCGTTATGTAGAGATGATTGGATTGAAATAGACAATTCTTAAAATTTAAGGCATAATAAAGGTAGAGTTCAATAGTTTTTCATTTTTAGGAAATTAGATATGAAGGTAACATCTCCCTTTCAATTCTTACCGTTTTAGGGATATGATTAGCTTTCTTCTTGATTAATTTATCTTCTACCTCCAAACTTGTTGCAATTTTTTTTTCTAGTTTACATACCTTCAAAATAGTGTCCAATTCTTATACCAAACCAAACTTAATGTTATGACAAAGAGTATGTGGATAATAATATCACGTTATAATGTAATTGTCAAACTCAAAAACTTGTTATACATAAACATGTGTATGTGTTGCTCATACTATACCTTATCTCTATGATATGTTCACTACATCGTTTACCGATATAATAATATGTGATGCTAAATAGCCAAAAAGAAAAGCCTTCACTGAAATTCGATTGTCATTCACCACTATGACGTTCAATAAATTAATTTATCAATTACATGTATATATAGGCTACAATGCTTGTATATATCTAATACAATTATTATCTGACAACTAGATATAATTCATGTTTACATATATATTTTATATAATCACTATCTGACCTTTAAAACGATAATTATATTAAATTTAATAAAAAAAATTATATTAAATACTATTATAGTCAAATTCGTAAATATTTCATCGGAAGAATTTAAATACAAACCCACATGAACTGAATTTATTTTTTAGCTAATGGAATTTTTATAATATTAATTGGAGGCAAGACCACTGACAGAAGTCTGCGCACTCCCCGGCAACCTTTAAGATATTGTTCCCAAATACCCTTATTCCTTTAGACTCGTATTCCAACCCACTAAAGTGCACCGACCGCACAAAGCGCAAGTTAGAAAAGTGAATATTGCACGGAATTGGATAATACACGGCAGGGCTGTACTAAATACACAAATGGGAAAGTGATCGACAAATTTCAACATCTGCGATCATTTCCCCCGCCACCATCCCCTAATTGGTAATTACCGAATACTCTTTTGCAACTTCCTGATGACGGCTTTCTCATCCCTCTTGTCAGCGGCGTTGGGTGCTCTCTTCCTGATGACGGCAGCGTTGGGTGCCTTTGTCCTAACGACGACGGTTTTGGATGCCTTCTTCCTGATAACGACTGCGTTGGTGACTTTTGCTTATCACATTTACTGTTGAATGAATCTTTACTTTTAACACGTCAGTATCTGCCGTAATAATTGTGTAATCCAAAAGTGGGGACGCGTGTGGGCAACACATCTGACACGCAAGGATCGACGGTTCAGTGTTGGCCACGTCAGCTAATGCTGTGGTTAGGGGACAAAACGGTGTTCCGTTTTCTAGCGTTGACGGGAGTAAACGCTCATGATTGGGATGTACAACTTTGCAGAAAACGGCTAATGGCGGTGGTGACCGTTTACTGTGAGTCCCGTAAGGTGAAAAAGTGGTCATGACAAAGACTGCCTGTTGACTCATTCCCTAAACTGTTTTTGGACAACATTGCTAAGTTGGAAGCCGAATACAATTTACAACTCATTTATTTTAGTGTATTATAGCATTGTTAATTGTTAAATGTCATCACATTGAAACATTTAGTACAATTTAGAGCTCAAAAATAATTACGGCACATTCAAATACTTAATGCAATTAATCACTAAAGATCAAACATGACTGTTAGATTTCATTATAACGTATCTGACTATTAGTAGATAATTATATTAAGTATATGATGTATTGTAGTCAAAATTGTTTATGTTTTTGTTTCTTTTTTTGTTTTGTTTGTGATACAAGCGATATTGGCAGAGATGAAATTCGAATTCGGAACCTTTGGTGCAAGAGTGAATGCTCTTGCCCAATTGAATTACAAAGTCCCTTGCACTTTTTACAATTTTACCTCTTGTTATTTAAATGACGCTTTATTGTAGTGACAGAAACCAATCACGTCTATACGTTATGGTGTCAATTTCACTCCTACCCGAATCTCTTGTTATTTAAAGTGTTTTCCTTTAACATTTTAGCTAGTAACATTTTAACAATTTAACCCACAGACTTTTACCACACGGCTAATTAGCTAAAGTTGAATTTCTTATTATTTAAATTGTTTTCCCTAACATTTAAGCTAACAACATTTTAACTATTTAACCCACACACTTTTCTCATGTGCAAAATTAGCTAAAGTTATGTGCTTTCTTTATGCACTCAAATTTGAATCCTCCTCGTTATAATATTTTTTAGTTTTTATTAAGTGGCATGTTGCATCCCATATATATATTCCCATCCCTACCTAGCATGAGGCCTTTTGGTAACTCACTGGCTTCGGGTTTTGTAGGAACTCCGAAGTTAAGCGAGGAGGCCAGAGCACTCCCAGGATGGGTGACCCACTGGGAAGTTGCTCGTGAGTTCCCAGAAACAAAACCGTGAGGGCATGGTCAAGGCCCAAAGCGGACAATATCGTGCTACGGTGGTGGAGCGGACCCGGGAAGTGATCCGCCTCGGGCCAGGATGTGACAAATTGGTATCAGAGCCAATCCGTGGCCGAAAGTGTGCCGACGAGGACGTCGGGCCCCTAAGGGGGGTGGATTGTTACATCCCACATCGCCTAGGGAAGTGAATCATGTAAGCCTTATATGTATATTCTCATCCTTACCTAGCACGAGGCTTTTTGGGAACTCACTAGCTTCGGGTTCCGTAGGAACTCCGAAGTTAAGCGAGTAGCGCACAAGTGCACTCCCATGATTGGTGACCCACTGGGAAGTTCTCGTGTGAGTTCCTAGAAATAAATCCGTGAGGGCATGATCGGGGCCCAAAGCGGACAATATCGTGGGTGACCTACTGGGAAGTTCTCGTGTGAGTTCCTAGAAATAAAACCGTGAGGGCGTGATTGGGGCCCAAAACGGACAATATCGTGCTACATCGATGGAGCGGGCCCGGGATATGACAGGCCCCTCATCATAATATAGATTAGGATAATATACATATATATATAGCTTTTTTTGTAATAATAATAATAATAAAACTCTCTTCTCTTTCTATATAGATGATATTTTATTTGGCCAAAAATGTAACACTCTCTATTTACTAGGAAGTAAATATGAAGGTAATAGTAACAATTGAGTTCATCCTCCAATCACAAATTTAATAAATTAAAGGAAAATTAATGAGTAAGTGTGCCAAATTCTAAAATATTGCTTTCGTGTTTTTAAGAATATAATCATCGTATATAATTAACAAAAACTTCATTCTACAACATTGATTGTGTCTTTTGAGTCTTCTAGATATTATGCCGTATACATCATTTGTAACTTTATAGTTGGCTTTAATCAAATTAATCCTTATATTACCATTATTCGATTTTCAAAAAAATATCTCTCACTTATAAGAAAACAGTGATCCATGGGAAAGAGACTCCTCCTATCCTAATTAAGCCCCACGAATCAAAATGTAATCATGACAGAATGTTTTATTAACTCTTTCATTGTTTTATAGTGAAAAGAATAGGTGTGCCTAGTACATTGCATTTGCATCAGTTGACGACAAGCCGCCTAGGTGCCCAGCCTGTACATATACATACTGCTCTGGATTAGCAAATAGGTAGGTACACATTGCTATCGTTCACTTCATTTTCTTAAATTAAGAGCTCGATCGGTCTGTAGGATTGAACTGGAATGAATAACTCTCTACTTAAGTATGCGTAAGTAAAAGAAACTGGTTTTTCGTTTGTAGGGGATTAGAAAGTGATTATATCATGAAGAAACTCACTCCTCCTAAGTTTTATCGTACAAATTGGAAGGGATAAGTGTTCTTTGTGAGTAATTCATCTTCTACCTTTTAGTTAGTCATAATTTTTTCATTTTTCACTTCAACATACCTTGAAATTTGAGAGTTATCCATTCCAATTCAGTACTATATACCAAATGAGCCTTAAAAGTGCAGCTTCCACAAAATCATAATCTCAAAGTTGAACTTTGGATCCCTAAGTAAATAAATAAAACCCTAAAGAAGGTATATATATATACCTTTAGGCTATTTGTTTAGTAATATAGTAAGTATAAAGTTTTTAACACGCACTGCGCATGGCCCCCAGATACAAGATGCTGTAACATCCTAGAGGATAAGTGAGATCACAACCACTCAATATTGGGTTTAGAGAAAATCTCATACTAATCAGCATGCTTATAAATATATAATCACCTTGATTTTCTTATCTTTAAACATAATATATTAGTAGTTGTTGCTAGATGTTTGTTATATAAGACCCACATGAGTAATTGTTTGTCACAACATGTGCCAGTTTTAGTCAAACATGGGTGTTATGATCTTTCAAGCAAAAGGAAAATCTCATTGCTGCAATATGAAAGTAGAAGCATCCAAACGTTTTGGAATAAAATTTTGGATTTGCTTAGTTGGGGTATCAGTACCCAATGGTGTATATTTTGGTTCCTGCTTTCGATATGCGATATTATACTAATATCTAGATTTGAATATCCCACAGATGATCTTGAAGAACTGCATCTGTTGTTGATTGTTAGAAAAGGAGTATCCTTGTCCAAGAAAACATTATCTCCTCAGGTTTAGAAATTACTGTTGTGATCTAGTTCCGATTGTATTCTTAATACGATAGAGATTCTTACAGCAAGTATATAAATATGTATGTATAGGGCCTTTGTGGTGTGAATAAAATAATCATTT